CTGCCAATCGCCTATCAAGCACTGCGTGAACAAATCAACGGCGCAGCTAGAGGTCACCCCCGGCAGAGGTGAGCTAAATACACGACGAGCTGTACAGTTTTTTCATTCCTTGACGATGGGCTCGCGTGAGAGTTCGAAACGTCGGATAAATAAACCATTGGTCCCAGCGATCGCCTTCCCGTCTTCTTCTATGCAATTACCTGGGCCGCGCGTATTCTCTATCATTCAGAATACTCCAAAATATACTGCGAAATTCAGAAAAGTTCTTTGGATATGAGAATAAGGCGAAACGCAACCGGGACTGTATTCCATGTCTAAAAGATCGCCAGGTGAATCAAGGTGAATCTGCTATCCCATTTCTTCACCTCTGTGTATACAAGGAGCAGGCTTTTGATGAAATGGTTTACTCCCCAAGTGTCAAATCAAGAAATACAAGTAGCACGGTACCTTCACAACAGACACGCCAAGGAAAACTTCGAGTCAACTACAGCCCACTCAAACTACCCAATCATTACTACCCCATTATTACCTAATCAGACCGTGTAATTTCTTCATTGAAATCTATAGTATATTTTTCACCGATATTCCGCAAAGACTTCAATTTGAGAACTAGTTTGAGGCGTCCACAAGAGCAAAGAGCATCAAGTGTTCAAAATTTCATCAAAGTTCGGAAGCGCTCGGAGAGTTTTGGTACTTCTGTATGAAAGAGGCTATGGCCTGTACCCTGACAGTTCGACCATCGATTTCGATGATGTCCACCGTGTGCCCCACAGCAGGTTGGAGCAGGGACGGTGACTTACGCAGGGGTTTATAGTGCCAGTAGACTTGCGCTGCATCTACCTACACTCTCTCCACCTCCCTCGCCCGAGCCCGGTGTCAAGACAGAGTCAAGAAGACCGGAGACGAGGGAGGCCGCAGGTGGATGGCTCGGACGGATCCTCACCTTGGCGTTCCACCACACTCCCTGGTCCACACAACAATAACCAGGATTTCAACCAACAACAGAGATTTGGAGGCTGGCACGGCCGAAGCCGCACCTGGGCGTGCCGCCAACGCCTGGCTCGGATCCCACACTGTGGTGGGAGTGCCATAAAGGCCACATTAAAAAGGAGCCATTGCAGCCTGACTCTCAGACCGCCTCCCGTTATAAATAAATAAATAAATAAATTTTAATTTAATGCCAGTTTACAGGCATTGTCAAGGGAAGCGATAAAACACAAATCCGACCAGCAGTGAAAAAAAACTCCTGAGCTTAAGGCATAAAAATATAGTTGATGGTGGTTTTTGTGGTTTGGAGGGCTCAGGAGAAAAAAACTGTCGGCGGTGGTAGAATATCGACCGTCAAGAAGGGGG